TTGCTCGAAGGTAAAATAAAAAAAAAAAAAAAAAAAAATTTTTGAGGGCGGCCTTTTTTTTTTTTTTTTTTCATATTTGTTAAAAACCTGCTTGAATCGATGAAAAGGAAACTTTTTCCTTTTTTCCTTTTTTTATTTATTTTCTTTTCTTTTTCTTTTCTTTTTTTTTACCTTTTTTAAAAACTTTGACACGACAACAACGTGTGTGTGTGTGTGTGTGTGTACAACAAAACAATTTTTTTTAAATATTTAATAAACAATAAATTTAATATTAAAAAGATGAAAAAAAATTTTCTTTTTTTCCGGAAAATCATGTTTCGACGCGAGATGTAAAAAAAAAAAAAAACATAAAACACAAAAATTTGTCTCGAATTTTTTTTTATAAAAAAAATTTCACAACATTCATAGCAATACGTATTATTATTATTATGTTGTACGTGTTTTTGAAATGTGTTTGTTACGTTTGGGCGTGTGTTTGTGAGTTTATGTGTTTGTGTTTGTGTTATGTGTTTTATACGCACAAAAAGCCGAAATGTTCAACGATATTTATGTTCCTTTTTTTTTAACTTACGTTTATCAAAAAAAAAAAAAAGAAAAATTGACTCAGTAACATCAATATTTCATTAAAATCCTAACGGTAAAAAAAAAAAAATGGCGGAGTAAATAACAAAAACAAATTTCATTTACGTTCGATTTTTCGCGTTGGAAAATTTTTTTTTAAAAAAATTAATCGCTTTATAAGGTAAACACATTAAAACATTTCTTCTAAAAAAACTTAACTGGAACCTAACCGTATGAGATAAAATCTTTTAATATTTCAAATGGGATTTTTCTCAATCATAACAATAATTTCTTATCGCGCATGCTAATTAAAAAAAAAAAATTTTTTTTTTTTAAATTTAAAAAATATTGATGAAAATAATAATAATAATTATTAGACTTACATAAACTTCTTCCCATTGGCTGACATATCGTACCAATCTGGAAAGGCGCAAAAGGCGAACTAAACTTAAAAGCTTTGCTAATCTTAATATTCTAAGGGCTCGTCCGGCGTGAAGGATTTGAAAACTTTCGCTAAAATCCTGAAACTGTTTATAAAAAAAAAAAAATTCAAAATTTAAATTAAAAACCTTTTAATATTATTTCTTAAACCGGTCCTGCGAACTTTTATATAACATATATATATATACGCCCACATTTTAATATTTTACCACCTGGACTTTGAATAATAATAATAATTAATTATTAATATGTAAATAATTATTATTATTATTAATATGTATCAAAAAGTTTCTAAATCCTTTTGAGATTTAAAGTTTTGTAAACAAAATTGTTTTTACTTCTGCTTAATTTATGCACTTATCGAAACTTTACGACGACGACGGCGAAGAAATATTTTCAAAGGAAAATTATTAATTTTAATGATGATGATGATGATGATGATGATGATATTGTCTTAATAATAACAAAAAAATAAATAATTTTTTGAATATTATTATCACTATCGATGATATAGCTATACAAGACGATAAATTTTATTTATTTTAGGACGTTTTTTTTTAAAAAATTAGATAAAAATTTTGGACTGAAACCAAAGAAGCAGAAGACGCGAATAGAGATGATAAGACGAGAGGATTTTTTTTTTTAACGATTACAATAATATAGAGTTAGCAGACGATTCGAATTCGAAGGAACGCATACCCTCTCGTTATAAATAAATATATTTCTAGAATCCAATAGAAAATTACAAGTTTACGAAAAATTATAACGGACAAAATGTTTGATTAAAAAAAAAAAAAAAAATGGCGGCGGTTATGTCTAATTTGAAATTGATTAAAAAAAATATATAAATATATTTAAGACGAGTCCGTTAAAAAAAAAAAAAGGAAAAAAATAAATTTAAGGTTTTTAAATTTTTCCCACGGTTATTCAGTCTACCCCCTTCTAACCCATTAACCTCTTAACCCCCTCCCTTTTTTTATCCAATTCGTTAAAAAAATATTTTCCAAAAAAAAATTTATTACTTTGGTAATAAATAAATGAGAGAAAGGAAAAAAATAACATGAACGAGGTTTAAAACTTCCTACCATTTTCCTCCTCGTACTCCCCCCCCCCGGTAATTCCTCTCAATAATAATAATAATATTAAAAATAAAAAAAGTAATAATAATGATAATTTAAATGTAATTTAGGTCAACTTAACTCGAAATGTAATTTTTAGTTTTTTTTTTTTTTTTTTTCTTCAACTTGTCAAGTGTACTTTATTAAAAAAAAAAAAAAACATTTCAGGCGATTTTTCCGTTAAAAACTAAAAACATTCAAAAACTTTACAAAAAGGAAAAAAAATTTTGATAATTTAAACTTAAAAAGTTGTTTTTTTTTTTTAAATTGAAAACTTGTGAAAACACATTTATCAATTTTTATCTTGTTCTTTTCTTTGCTTTTTTTTTTTTTTTTGTAAAAAGGTAATAAATAATGGCGGTTATTAAAAACAAAAAGCCAAAGTGTTTTTTGTTGAGAGAGAGAGAGAGAGAGAGAGAGAAACAAAAATAATTTTAGATAAAAAAAAAAAAAATGGATGAATGTAAGGGTGATAATATTTATTAATACTTACTTGGTTAAATATAAGAAAAATATAATCGAGAGGTATAGAACTAATTAAATCGAGAAAAAACCAAGTTTTTAAATAATGTCTTGCTATTATTTTAGGATCGAGAATCACTTGTTCGGCATTATCCTGCTGCATAATACCTGAAACGAATGAAAAGAAATTTTTTTTTTTTTTTTTTAATTTCAAATTTTTCCGCTAGGGGATGAAAAAAAAACATTCAAAAAAAAAAATTATTTACCTGTTCTAAAATTAACAACAATGTCAATTAGGAAGATGGTATCTGATAAACAATTGAAGGCAATCCAGCGTGTACTTAGGTCGTCATTAAAAAATGAGATGGCGACTGGAAGGATTATTAAATTGGCTACTAAAAGGAGAAGCATACACAGATCCCAGTAAAACCTAAAAGAAAAATCATGATGTAAACACGTGAGAGAGAGTGCGTTCAGGTACTGAAAAAAAAGAACCAATCAGAATAATTAATTTTTAAACGTAATCGCTTCTGATTGGTTAACAGTTTGTTTTTCTTTTTCATTGTTATAAATTATTATATTCACAACTTTTTCTTTTTTCTTTTATTATAAAATGAATTCGTAAGTTTTTCGTTATTTTTTTTTTACTTTTTTTTTTATTTATTTAGTTTTTGAAAATGCGGCAAACAAAAAAAAATTGTTTTATTTTTTTTTTTATTATTAAATTTACCGATATATATAAAAAAAAAAAATATATTCAAAAATATTTTGTAAACATGTTTTCATAAATCTCTTCTTCATTGTAAAATCAATTTAAAATTCATAACAAATTTTTCAATCAGACCGATTGTATTCTATCATTTTTACAAAAAAAAAAAAAAAAATTGTATCGACATATTTTAAATATAAGCAAAAATGTATTTATTACAAATATAAAAAAACTTTATTTATTTATTTTTTATTAAAAAAAAAAACCTTAACTGACATCATCATCATCATCTTTCATCCTCAACCTCACCCTAATCGATTTCACACAATTTTCCTTTTTTTTTTATTAAAACTCAAAATAACAATCAAAATTAACTAATAAATTTATTTATTTCATTTAAATGTAATAATAATAATAATTATTATTATCATTTATTTATTTAATTCATAACCTTTCGAATATTATTATTATTTAATTATATTACGTTTTTGTTTAATTAACAATATGGACGACCTTTACATTAAATTTATTTTCGGATGATGATAATAACATCGAAACAATCGAAGGAAGAGGGACCGGGGTTAAGGAGGGGAAGGGGGTGTGATAAGAAATTAAATTACCCTAAGAGAAAGGCTTCCATATGTAAACTAACAACAACAATAACAACTTAAAATCAACCTTTTAATAATAATAGTAAAAAAAACATTTTGTTATTTAAATATTTAATAAAGTTATTTAAAAATTAATTATTATCATTATTATTATTATTATTATTACTGTTTGTAAAAAGAGCTCGTGTGTAAATGGTTCTTTTTTTTATTTTATTTATTTAAATAATCGATATCGAGACGGGGGAAAAAAGGAAATCAAAAGGTTATGATACTTGACATTTTATGATTTATTGATTAATAATAATAATAATAATAATTATTATTATTATTACATAAATAAATCATAATTTTTTTTTATTTGGAATATTTAATAATCCGTAGCAATTAGTCACGGAACGCATAAAAATTTTTTTTTTTTTTATCAAACAAAGGAAATAAAGGAAAAAAAGGAAATAATTAACGGAGCCATCTTTTGTGTGGTTTTTTTTTTTCGTATTAATTTCAAAAAAAAAAAAAAAAAAAGGAAAATTTTTTTTCTTCTGCTAGTCATTAGTCTCGATTTTTTAATTTGTATAAAATACGTTTTTTGCATGTTTATTTTCAATTTAAAAAATTTTCTGTTGTTGCTGTTGTTGTTTGTTGTTCGGAGAGTTGTTTTTTATTTTTTAAAAAGGTACAAAAAAGAACTTGAGGGAATTTAAAAGAGAAGTGGAAGAGGGAAGGGGAGAGGAGGGAGGGAAGATATAATAAAAGGTAACGGTTTAAGAAAAGATGAAGTTTCGTAGGATAGAAAAAAAAAAGAAAATTTTCTTTTACATTAAAAATTCATCGGAAATTTTTTTTTTTTGTTAAATTTAATGATCGATTCGAAAAAAGGTTTCGTACTTATTTAAAAAAGGTTTTATCTTAAAAAAAAAGGAAAGGAAAGGAAATAAAACGATGTTGCATGCATTACTTGTTTTATTACACGACGAGGAGGGAGCGGAGGGAAGGGAGGAGTGGGAGAAAAAAAAATTTAGGTCAGTTTTTTTTTTTAAAGAGATTTTTAACCTTTCTAACCTTTAAAAAAAATTTTTTTTTTATTCATTCTCTTTAATAATAATAATAATATTATTATTATTATATTTTATTATAAAAATAATATTTCTAATAATAATAATAATAATAATTTTATAATCGTTGCATGATGGCACCGATATTGATTCATATAGATTTAATTTAATTTATTAGAAAAAAAAAATTTATTGTAAAAGAAAAAATTACAGGAAAGCAGAAGAAAAATTTAAAAAAAATAAATAAATAAATAAAAACGTGGAATTAGAAAGAGGAGAAATTATTTGATTTTTTAAAACGATTTTCTCATCATCGATTCGTGAAAATTTTATGGTCGTTTTTTTTTTTTTTCACGCTTGGCATTTTCTCAATCGTCTTTGGATGGACGCCCAATTTTTTTTTTTTTTAAAAAAACTTTGATTGGTAAAAAAAAAAAGGGAAACTTTAAAAGAAAATTTAAAAGCAGACGAAAAAAATTAAAAACGTTTTAAAATCTTGACCCATTGATTTCAAAACAGTAAAAGAAAAAAAAAATTACAAATTCAAATCATTTCCTTAGCAACAACAGGAGGCATAATAACAGTGGCACCAACATTAAAAATTTTTTACAACACGTGACCTCTTAATAACCATTTCAACTACTTTTCTCAACGCGTTTATAATTTTATTATTATTATTATTATTATTATTATTATTCTATAAAAATTTTTAAATTATTATATATATTTGGAAAAAATCACACGAAGAAAACAAGACTTTTTTCTTTTTCTTTTTTTTTTTTCTTTAAAAATAATAATAATAACAATAATAAATAAATAAATAATAATGATAATAACAATTTATTTATTTATTTATTTATTTATTGTAATCAAATTAAATTTCAAAAATAAATAAATAAACAAATAAATAAATAAAAAATTTTTTTTTAAATTTTTTTCAATGTCAAAAACGCATTCAAATAAAAAAAAAAATTCCACTTCGTTGTTGTTATCATCATCATTATCATTATTATTATTATTATTATTATTATTATTATTATTATTATTATTATTATTGTTATTTACGTAAGATAAACATGAAAAATTTTTATTTACGTTTATAAATAAATAAATAAAATTTTCACCGAAAAATTTTTCATAAACGTGTTTAAAATAATAAAAAAAAAAAAAAAGAAAAAAAATTTAAATTTTATTTTTTATTCTTCCTCTCTCTCTCTCTATTATTTTTTAATTCAAAACAAACAAACAAACGCGGAAACAAACGGGCAAACAAAAAAACAAACGCGCTTTAGATTTGATATTTTACTTATCGGATTAATAATTAATATCAATATAAAATGAATTAATAATTTTTTTTTTATTAAATTAATCATCGCCATCGTTTAATAAGTCTGAACGGAATGGAAAAAAAAATTATTATTATTATTATCACTATTTATTTTTGTTTTACGAGTTTCCTTAAATAAAAAAAAAATTTTTTTTTTTTTTAATTAAAAAAAATAAATTAAAATCCAATCAACAAGAAACAAACAAACAAACAAACAAACGTTTTTTTTTTTTAAAAAAAAAAAAATATAAATCACAAAAAAATTAAAAAAAAAAAAAACTTTTGTTTTTTTTTTTTTTTTTTAAAATCAATATTTTTGTTTTATAAACACGTTACATAAAGTTGATGAAAACCATAGAGTAAAAAAAAATTATTATTATTATTATTATGACGTAAAAAAATTTTTTTTTTTTAAATTAACTTATATTTTATTTATATGGACCGTAAAAAAAATAAAAAATTAATTTTTTATTTATTATTATTATTATTATTCATTCGTTTTAATCATTTAAAAAATAAAAATAAAAAAAATTTTTTTAATTGATATACGTTTTTCACAAAGCAATAAAAAAGGAACGCCACCATCGCCACCGCCACCGCCTTCACCATCACCACCAACACCACCGATTTTCCATTTATATTTATTTTTCGAAAAAAAAAGTTATTATCTTGGGCGTTTAATGTAACAAATCTGTTGATAATTAATGCTCCCACAAGACTAATAATAATAAAAAAAATTTTTTTTTTTTTTTTTATTAATACATAAAAAATTATCAAACCTTGTAAATAAAAATTTCTTTTTTTCCCTCCCCTCCCTCTTCTCCCCCAAATCTCCTCTTTTCCGCCCTTCCCCTCCACCGCCCTTTTATTCGATGGATTTACATTTTAACGTGCAAAAAAAAAAAAAAATTTCCTTTGTGTATAATTCTGAACATTTTTTTTTTTTTGTTTAAACAAAAAAAAAATATTTAATCATGAGAAAAATTGTTATTTTTTATTGTTTTCAAACGATTTTTTATTTATTTATTTATATTAGGGAATTACAAAAATAAATAAATAAAATTCCGCCATTTTGTTTTTATTAATTAATTAATTAAGGTAGTCGTAGCAATTTTTATTTATTTTTTCGTTTTATTTTATTTTTTTTGATGCACTCATAATAATAATTTGTCATGTTAATAAAAATTAATTTAAAATACTTTTTGTTTATTGAAGAAGTAATAATAATAATAATATTAATAATAATAATAAAGTAAAAAGTATGAATATTAATAACTTTTAAGTTTTTTATACTTTATCATGTACTTCCTTACTTTTAAATGCATAACTTGAAAAAGGTTAATCATAATTTAATAGAATTTTATTTTATTAACACGGCAAACTTTATTTATTTTCGAAAATGGGTCGTCACGTGGGTCATCCGTGTGCGCGAAACATAATGATGATTTTTTTAACGAAAAATTAACGCATGCGAATGAAATTAAGGAAGTTAAAAACGAAAAAAAAAAAAAAAAATTCAAGTCGCCCCCTCAGGAACATCCCTTAAATGTGATAAGTTTGACGATGACGATGATGATGATGATGGTAGTGATGATAATGATGATGATGATGATGATTATCATCAGTTGACATTATTAATAATTTTGAAAAGGTCAAATTAATGATGGCACATAATTATTTATTTAAAAAAAACTTTAGTCATCTTGTTTAAGAGAAATTCGATAGTAAAAC